GAAGAATTGTGGACAATAACTCGGGTTTTTCTACTTTATCAAGATCAAGGTATGCTGATTTTTGTTACTATTTGAACTTTTGATGAGAAAACAAAAAAATTTGTGTGATGGAACTTTCAAAACTGCCGTACCTCTTTTTTTCAATTCTTCGCCATCTTCGGGTCGGCTAACATTTGCAATGTTCCCGCAGCTTGAAGATTTGGGACCAGAAAACCCGAAAAACTTAGCAAATTTTTTCAATTTTTTTTTCTCGAAAAATGCAACGAATTAGTCGGCTTTCCCTTGATGCCCGACACCATATTAACAGATTTTGAAATTGAGGTTATACCGGCAGTTTGAGAAATTTCCCATGCTTTGGCACATTATGGTCGCTTGTTTCAATTTTCGCAATGCATCTAAACGCGTATTGTTACGATGTAAAGTATAGAGAACAAATCTGTTCACAATAGTTAGTTTGTTCACTATGCAAATTTTCTCTAGATTATGAGAGTTTTTACTACGTTAAAATAGTTTCAAAAAAACTGAAGTTCAAATCTTTGGAGAGGGGGGTTTGGAAAAGAGCCTCTACTTATTATATATCGATCCAATTTTGAGCCCTCCAGTCACAATCATTTTGGGCCAGAACAGTAATTGTCCGAAATGAATTTTCGATAGAAAATTATCGAAAAAATTGCTAAAACCTCACAATACCACAATACCGCTGAATAAGTAAAATCTCGAGGACTTATAAGAGACAGATCAGCTATTATTGGCCCCAAAGTACGATACAACTCAGCGAAGTGTTCCACGAAATCGAAACCAAAATTTAACCTAAGCCGCCAAAAAATTTTGAGGACAGTAAATTTGAAGAATTGTAGACAATAACTCGGGTTTTTCTACTTTATCAAGATCAAGGTATGCTGATTTTTGTTACTATTTGAACTTTTGATGAGAAAACAAAAAAATTTGTGTGATGGAACTTTCAAAACTGCCGTACCTCTTTTTTTCAATTCTTCGCCATCTTCGGGTCGGCTAACATTTGCAATGTTCCCGCAGCTTGAAGATTTGGGACCAGAAAACCCGAAAAACTTAGCAAATTTTTTCAATTTTTTTTTCTCGAAAAATGCAACGAATTAGTCGGCTTTCCCTTGATGCCCGACACCATATTAACAGATTTTGAAATTGAGGTTATACCGGCAGTTTGAGAAATTTCCCATGCTTTGGCACATTATGGTCGCTTGTTTCAATTTTCGCAATGCATCTAGCGAAAATTTCTAGAATTTGGACTAAGTTGCGATTATAAAACGGACAAAAAATTTCAAGATATTGCCAGAAAATTTTCAAGTCTCGCATGTTTACCTGTTAACGAGATAAGCATGGCGTTGGTTTATTATCGAACGACCAATGAGTGCCAAAACTGAATTGGAGTCCAAAAACCAAATTTTTGATCTGTCCTAAAAATTAACAATTCAAGAATTGGAGTCAAGAGTAAAATTTGAATTATTATAACACTTAATCATTGGTTTTACCGTAAAATTTAAAATTTGCATGTATTGTTTTATTTTTTTGCTCTTCGACTCATTCTGCTCTTAGACCATTCTGCTTATGGCTCCGCCTCCGTGTGAGAGATTGGGGCGTGAAAGGGGATATGGTCGTTGAGGGGATTTTTGAGTACGAGCTTTTCAGCTAGCGTCGATGGGTGAGGTGATCGGTTGTAGATGAATATGGCAGGTAATTGGTGCATTTGACGAGTAGAGAAAGTGGTTGGTGTGTGGGGTAGGGGGCAATTGGAGAAGATTGTTTAAAATGAATCGGTAGTCAAATGTTTAAGTAAACGAATAGGATTATTAAGTCTTATGTAGATTGCAAATGATTATTTTTCAAAACTTTTACAATTTATGGGGACCGCCCAATTAGCATAAGAGCCTTTGACCTTGTAAAGCAAACACTCAGTTTTTCCAACATTTCTCCCTGAAGTTGCTTTTCAGAATAAGCGAAAACAAAGTTTGCCTTCGAAGAGTAAATCAAGTTGTTTTTAAACTTAAGCAAGTACAGCCGGTTACTGTGCAAGTAGCACAGAATGTTCCGACTATAGTCTTTAAAAACATACAAGACAACTTTTTTTTCAAATCAGTGTAGCGTTTTCTACGTGGTGTGATAAAAAGATCTGACGTATAACTATGATTTGGTCATATTCGACAGTCATAGTCATATAGACAAAAGGACACCAAATTTTAAAGGAAAATGACTAAAAAACGAAAAATCATAGAAAAACAATAAAATACTCAAAACTATTCATTTTTGTTTGCAGAACTCGTTTTGAATTTTTGATAGTTTTGATTATCAAAATGGCATTAAAAATCTTCAAAAATTGATTTACTCGAGTAAAATTAAAATGCAGCAAAAATGAGCTATTGTAAACGGCCTAATTTAAGTATAAATAAACGTGGTTGCTCGTTTTTCTAGCCCGTATATAGACGAAAATATCAAATTTCCAAATTGGTTTTTCTCGCAACTGGGAAAAAAACTTTTTTTTCAAAAATGTTTATTGTAGTTTGAATCAAGACTGAAAAAGCTTCAAACTCAGTCCGATGATTAATTAAGGTACCTGGTTTTGCGTGGAAAACAAAAAGAAACACGACTGCTCGTATCAGGGCGAAGCCCTGAATGTTCCGACTGCCTTTTAATGTTTATGGAGTAGTAATAACATTTAAAAATTTGAAAAATAAAACAAAATGAATTTTTTTCTTAAAATTCGAAATTTTTTATGAAAAACATACCTCAACATACGCCACATAAACTACAAAAGGATGAATTTCGCTACTTGTAACAAATCAATTATGGCAAATAAGCTTCTTGCAACCAATTTGGAACAATTTCTAAGACGGATTAACTCTCCGCTTACTCGTTCATAGCGCAAAATATATCGCGCGTTAATTGTCCCGTATTGGCCAAAATGGCAATCTTTAAACCCCCGTAACTTTACAAAACATGGTCACAGGTGAAATATCTTTTCAAATTTGAGCTCAAGACAACAATAATTTTCGAATGATATAAAAAAATTCTGTCAAAAATTGCTAGTTAAAAAGTCGAAACTTGTCTGAAGAAAAAAAACCCCACCCCGAGCACAAATATTCCGTTACTTTCGCATCAAAAGTCGGAACAAAAAAATAAAAAACTAAAACTTACCCAAATACAAAGTTCCTCCCCATTTCAATGGTCGGAGTAACAATTTTGTGCTAATTTTTGACTGCATGAAACCTTAAATAAAACAATGGGTGCATGTTTATAAGGCGCACATATTTTTTGCTCTGCGACTACAAGCTGATTAGGTTTAGATTGCTCCTTTGTTTTAGGTAATGCAAAAACTGTCATAATAATTCGCAAAATTTATTCTAATACTTTGCAAAACTTCTACATAATTACATTTCAATTCCAGAAAAACCTAAAATTTTTGTTTTTATTTCAATTGTTTTTTGTAGATCACAACTAAATAAAAACATGATAGAGAATTTTTTTATAATAGACACATTTGGAATGAGAACAGCCAAGAAAATGGCCGATGCAGAATCATTTGCTTTCTTTATCATTTGTTTTTGTTCCGATACGAAAGTAACGGAATATTTGTGCTCGGGGTGGGTTTTTTTTTCTTCAGACAAATTTCGACTTTTTAATTTTATTACATTTAATTTTTTAATGTTATTACTGCTCCATAAAACCTTAAAAGGCAGTCGCAACATTCAGGGCTTCGCCCTGATACGAGCAGTCTTGTTTTCTTTTAATCAAGCTGATATCGCAAAGAAAATCTGTTCCAGTAATTTTACAGCAAATTTCCATTTTGCAGAACCGTAACTTAAATAAATCGATTAATGTCAATTTGCAGCTTTGCATTTTCGTATATTTGAACGCCGTAGTTATTTTTTGCAGTACTGTATCATTGGTGAGTATACATTTTGAAAACACTAATTCGGCATCTATCAGATTTAAAAAAACACATTTTAGAAAGGCTGCTCCTTTTTTTTTCAAATACGCCCTGGGACATAAAGATGCGCTTCTCTGAATTCGATATATTCTAGAATTAAAGCATTTTAGTAGCTGAATATGGCGTGGTGTTTTTATCAGGTTAATATGTGTGTTAAATGTGGAGGGTCCGAATCTAGTTGAAATCAAATTTGCTGAACTTCATTTTTAAGCATTATTTCTGACAAGGAGCAAAATGAGCTATGTTCAATTGATGATTCAGATCTGTTACAATGCAGGGATGGAATTTTGGAAAGGGGTCTCGGACGGCCTCTTCCCCTCATGGATTTGACCCACTGACGAGTGGATTTGACCAACTGACGAGTGGATTTGACCCCTCATGGATTTGACCCACTCATGGATTTGACCCACTGATTTCAAAATACTATTTCAAAGCATTTTGGTCTGACCAAACCGAAAAAGTTTCCAAATGCGCCTTTGGCGTCTATCATTATTAATTTCAAGGCGGGCAGCGCGCGCCGAAATATTGAAGTTTTTTGGTCAAAATTTTCCAAAAGTTGCCTGCAAACGCTGTTTTTTGGCCTGTTTTTTTCCAAAGTTCACCTGCGGTGCAGAAAATTCGGTCCAAATAAGGTCTTTATAGCGGTTTGGCAGAACTTGTCGGAATATCAATTTGGTCGACCTAAAACTGTTTTTTTTTTGAAAATTTGCTACCTCCAATTGACAAAATATGGTCTAATAATAAACATGAGTTTTAGTGAAACTTTACTGAGGCAGTTCTTTATGAGCAAGGTGAGAAGCCTACGGGCAAAGAACAAAATGGAGCTGAAAATTCTATTTCAAACAACGGTTTGTATCAAAACCAATCTCTTAATGCTCTGAATTTCCTTTAAAGGTCGTTCGTCTCAAAATATTTGCTATAAGAAAATTGAGAACTTTTCTTAAGTCGTCCGTTATGTTTTCGCCCAATAAGCTATGAAAAATTAAAATGACTTGAATTGATGTTTGAGCCCCTCTAATTTGACGTTTGAACATTAATAGAGCAAAATATATCGCCCGTTAACTAGCAAAAAATGGCAAAATTAGCAATTTTAAAACCTTCACAAAAACGAAGTGAATCATTTTTTCAGTTTCCAGCTTTAAGTTATAGATTTTTTTCAAATGGTAAAACAAATTTCCCTCCACACTGCTAGTCAAAATTCTATAATTGACTGAATATCACTTTGAATCATCAGCTTTTCCAATTGTGTCAATCCCGAATGTGCAGAATTTCCCAGACGCCCAATCTCCTGCTCCTGTGATATTAGTTTGTCATGAATATTTACGGGTGGCAAAAGTAGATTCTGTAATAAATCCAAAGAAATCCCTGTGGGTTCATTTCGCTAATGACTCATAAGTAGATCTTGTCAGGTCAATGAACTTCAAAGGCAGAAAATATCACAGCTTGATAAATATCACAGACTAATCTAAACAAAAGTCACTAAAGTACTATAGTCACATTACCATGTCAAACACGCATATCGTATGTATTTGTTATTTGAACTCTGGCAGTATGCCCTGAGCACGTGACAGAAAACTTATTTTCAGCCTGCTCTGATATATTTTTCCTTCCGCATAAGACTGCAGTTTTATTACAAGTTTATAGCAAATTTATAAGAAGCCAGCGCCTGTTAAAAGAAGACTACAAGTTTTTATTACAGTTTCATTAAAGTCAGCACTTGATAAAAATGTATACCCGCTGTAGCGGAAAATTGTCTCGAGGGTCTGTTGGCTATCATGCAAATCAAGTCCACTTATTGCTCTACGACATAATTTTAGACTGAATTCAATAAACTTGCGTTATTTTCAATTTTCAAATAACAAAAAGTCAGTAACAGGGGCAGATATAGGATTTTTTTGAGATGAGCGGGGGTGGTGTTTGATTTTCAAAAAAAAATCCAAAATCTTAATGACATTTGGTTTTTAGCTCAACCAGAATGATTTACCGAGCTCTCCAAAAACCCCACAACGAAAATTTTTTAAAAAAAGCAGAAAGTGCCGTAATTGAAATTTAAAAAAAAAACATGTCAAAATGTCTGCTTGGGCGCGCAAATCTCCGAAAAAGGACGTCCGCCCCGCCATCTAAGTCCGCCCCTGGACGGTAATGTTTGTTGTTTCAGCATACATTTTATTCTTGTCATACTTTATTTTTGTCTCTGTTTTTTTTTCATATTTTTGCATTTTTTTGCGGATTGTTTACCAGCTCTATCTATATACAAAAAAAATGAAAATACAGATGCGCATTGTGTTTATACAGTAGCTGAATTTGCAAGCCCCGACTTCTATTTGATCGTCTTATGAAATAAACACACCTGTGATAAAAATAATCAAATGAAAGCAAGAAATTTCTGCTCAGCTATTTTATTTTTTTATCGCGGCAATGAAAAATATGGTTCTTAAATTTGCGCTTTAAAATAACGCGCTGCTAGCAAAAAAAGAGCCTCATTGAAAAACAAAGATTTCACTACACGTGTGTAAGTAACAGAAATACTCTTTTTTATTTTAGAAAAAAGAGCTTTACACTTATTTGTTGCAGAAATAGTAGATTGTATTGCACAGAGGCAAATAAAGAATATAACATAGAGAAATCACTAAATTTAGCTGTAGTTCTTTTTTTTTTAATTTTAGAAAAAGTGATAAAAAATTACTCCTATCTGCAGGTAAAATTAAAAGAAAAAGCAATTTCATTATAATTTGGATTCCTAACTTTCCGATAATTCTTCAGATATTCTGAGAAAATTTCGTCTAATTTATACAAATACAATAAGTTTGCGTTTCTGCTTTGCAATCATTATATCAAATAGACATTTATAGAATATTGATTATTTTTGACCTCTTATTTATGTTAAATGCTTTTGAGAATTTATTCTACTGCGAATTCTTGCCTTATATTCTGCTTTTATCGATTGCGATAATCAACTCATGTGAATGACATTACATAAACATGACAACTAAAGAGCCCAAAAATACTAAAGCTGCATCAGCTGAGCCCCCTAAGAGCGAAACTTGCGAGGATGTAGAGTCGATTGAGGGCGTCACTTACGAGGGGGGGCATATTGCGCTTCAGCGGACGGGGGTGCATAAGAAGAACCGATGTTGGATTGTTCTGAGAGGACTGCTCACTACTTTATTTGTGGACATGTTGATCCTGATTGCAATTGGAGGTATAATACAGGTCAGAGGGGTGCTCAAAGAATTAACTTCTCAGATCAAAAAGGCAGAAATTAGGACAATATAAGCATAAAACTACATCGATTGTTGTTCAAAAGATCATTTTCAATTAAATGATTTTTTTTCAAAATGACTAACTAAGCATAATTTTGAGAAATTAATTTAAGCTCAATATAGCATTGTTTTTATGTGCTTAAGCTTAATTATAAGCACATAATTGCATTGTTTTTTTATTCTCAAGAAATCAATTAACTGGTCATTTTTCAGATTTAACCATATCCGATTTGTAATCTTCTAAAAACATAGAAATTTGATGGTTTGGCACACTTAAAAAAGGGGTATCGAAAAAAAAACAAATTTTGCGAGAATTTTAATCCCAGTTGTTTCAAGGGGCCCCTCTTTCACCGATATTTGCTTAGAACTCTTTTGGATAACAATTTCAAATAATTATGGTACTTAAGTTTCCATAAAACAAGTACTTTTTTGTGAAATGCTATTTATTTGTGAAAGTAACCTCAATTTTGAAAGTAAAAAAAAACTGATTGAAAATAATGTAAAAAGCCAGGTTTTGAGCACTCCTTATTTTCAAGTTGGCTCACGAATTGGATAAAAATGCAGAAGCCCAGAAAAAATATGTTCACGCAATGCAATCGAAAAAACATTAATATATTTATATGTCATCTTCTTTTCAAATATATATTCAATGTTTTCATCTTCCAATTTACTTCTCTCCTTGATATTTTTTTTCGGTGGAACTTTTTCAATATGTAGAAGGATGTAGTCTCCGAGCATGCTATCAGCACCTTAGATTATTTGTGCCTAGATAATTTTGGCCCAAAAAACAATTGGTCGTTGGAAATTTGGGCTCTTTTCCAGTTCCCCCTTTCAAAATGCCGAGTTTTATGTTTGTTTTACGTGTTATTACGACTAAATGCGTGATGTTACGCTGCAAAGTATGAAGAACAAATCTGTTCACAGTTGTCGATTTGTTCACCACGCCAAATTTCATTGCATTATGACAACCTTAAAAAAGCTTTTCAAAATTAAATTTGAAAGGGGGGGAAACTGGAAAAGAGCCGAAATTTGATAACAAATATCTCCACAAATATGCAGGAGTTAAACTTTATCTCTAAGGCACAGTCAGACTACCCGATATTGCCGATATGCCCGTATTTTCCCATTTACATTTTTCTAAATTGGAAACACGATAGTTTTTTCAAATATACATCTCTAAACTTGGCACAAAATTCAAATATATAACGCATTTATCACTAGAAAGTGAGTATAAAAGTAAGAAATAGAGAAGTCATCTGCATTTGGCATCGAACACTATAATCAGCTATTTTCGGACACATAATTTTTAAAAGCTCAAAGAAAGAAAGATTTTAGTTTTTTTTTCTGGTATCTTGACTTGTCATTATTTATAGAGTGGGTAGCTTACCTTTTTTTTCAAATGCAACAAAAAACCCTAATTATCAGCAAAATAACAATCCTCATTCTCCAAGTCTGCATTTATTGCTCTATACTAATCCGTCAAACAGAAAAAAAAAAGACTTTTTTTTGCGACCAATTTTTTTTTCGAATAACCCATAGCTCTTTTCAGGACTGAAAAAGCTTCGGCTCATTTCCACTCCACCTCCCTACTTTTCAATTTCAACGTTGAATTTTTTTTAACATTGTAATGCCTTGGAATTAGGAAAATTTGATAAAACTAACAATTGAGAACAGATTTTCTCTTCATACCTTACATCGTAACTTCAACTAACGTCAATTAACAACTAAAACTTCAATTAACAATTAAATCAGCCATTTTGAAACGTGGAGGAAGTTCATAGGAGCCAGAGCTTCAATATAATATACCCCAAACTGATCATCGTGTCCGTCAATTTTAAAGTTTTTTCAACATTGTAATGCCTTGGAATTAGGAAAGTTTTGATAAAACTAACAATTGAGAACAGATTTTCTCTTCATACCTTACATCGTAACTTCAACTAACGTCAATTAACAATTAAAACGTCAATTAACAATTAAATCAGCCATTTTGAAAGGTGGAGGAAGTTTATAGGAGCCAGAGCTTCAATATAATATACCCCAAATTGATCATGGTGTCTCGCCATGTTGCGTAGTTTATTAAAATCGGATAACTACTTCAATTAAGCATGTGTTCATGCACTACCCAACAAACCCAAACAAATTAGCCGACACTTTCAAAAATTTTTTAGTGGGTTTGTTGTTAATGCATGATGAAATGCTTGGTTCTTTTCCAGTTTCCCATCCCCCTCGTAAAATTACAAAATGAAACTGTTCAAATAGTGCTCACACCGTATTTTGCATGTAGGAAACATTGTTAAAATTTGTTCAGCTGTTCACGCTGATTTGTTTTATTGCAGTTTATAGCGGCGCACAGACAATTCGGCATAAGACTATTCAGCCAATTTGAAATTCAGTCAATTCAGCCAGAAATATACAGACAATTTAGCCTGAGACAATTCAGCCAGTTTTAGAAAACGCTAGATTCGAAAGCAAAAAATCGGAACTGGAGCTATTTGCCGGTTTATGGTCGCCGGTGGGCGCGCTACGCGCGCGTTGCTGCATCCCGGCGATAACCGGCTCTAGATTTCGTATAGAGTCCTACCCTCTGTTTGCAAGCTCGAAACACGTTAGCGCGATTGCGGCGGTCACTATTATTGGCTGAGTGTCTTCGGCTGAATTGTCTGCATACTTTTGGCTGAATTGTCTGAATTTTGAAAAAAATAAAAATCCAAAAAACAAATGCTGTTTTGTTTTATGTAAAAATTTGTAAAAGTAATGTGAAATAATATAAAAAAGCCAAGTTTTGAGCACTCATCATTTTTCAAAATGGCTCACGAATTGAATAAAAATGCAGCGAAGCCCAGAAAAAATATGTTCTAGCAATGCAATCAAAAAAATATTAATAAATTCATATGTCATATTCTTTTCAAAAATATATTTAATGTTTTCATCTTCCAACTTACCTCTCTCCTTGCTATTTTTTTCGATGCAACTTGTTCTATATGCACAAAAACGCAGTCTCCGAGCATTTAAGAAAAAGGAAAACAAATCGACTATAATGGATTTTCGTGATCTAAAATGTTGTAAATATAATCGATTCCCATGTTACCTTCAGACCACAAAAGTGGACAAAAATGAATTTAAATCCATTTCTTCTCGCCTAAACAAAATGCATTATAATTTATTTGGAATCCATTATAATGGTTTTTGTAACATTATTAAATTGGATTGTTTCCGCTTTATTTTTGTTTCGCGCGTCGTGCAATTTTTTGCAAGAATTTCTGCATTTATCAAGTGAAATATGCGGAAACTTTGCAAAGCGAGTGTAGGGCCTAATCCATTTCTAAACCTTAACTCAAATTGCAAAAAGATTCCGTTTAGCTCTCTCCCACCTAACGTCTGCCCCTCTGCTCCCCTCCCCCACTGAATCCCCCCCCCCCCCCCCACTGAAACCCCCCTCCCCACTTGAACCCACACCCTTCCCCCACCTGAACACCCCACTGAACTCCCCCCCCCCCCCAACTGAGCACCCGCCACCTGAGCAACCCCCACCTGAACACCCGCACCTGAACAACCCAACCCACCTGAACACCCCCTAAATTGAACACCCCTCCCCCACCTGAACCTAACCCCCACCTCAACAACGCCCCACCTGAACCCAATCCCCCTCCCCCCTCCTGCTGAACTCCCCCAACTTAACAAACACCCCCCGAACACCCCCACCTGAACAACCCCACCCACCTGAACACCCCTCTCCCCACCTGAGCCCACCCCCTACCCCACCTGAGCCCACACACCCTCACCTGAACAACCCCCCCCCCATCGGAACCCACCCCCTAGGGCAAACACTAGGTGGGGGAAATGGAAAGGGAATCAGTCCACTTCCAACTTTACCCCCCCCCCCCCCAAAGTTTCTAATAATTTAAAAAAATTGCTGAAACGAACAAAATTGAGTTTTTAAGTAACATAAAAAAGTAACAAAAATAACAAAGTCAGGCAGAAAAAAATTGAATTGAATAACAAGTAACCAACCTAAACAATTTTAGCTTAAAACTTAGAAAAGACTTTATATGCGTTGAAATTCGCAACTCAGTAAAGTTGAAAAAATCGACTATAATTTAGTTTCATTGTCATTGACCAAAAAAAATTGGTTATAATGGATGAAAAGAAAATTTTGTTGCCTCGAAAACATTGAAATCCATTTTTAAATGATTGTAATCGATTTGTTTTCATTGGTTTTCATTTTTGTTTTCAAGGAAGCTCAATTAAAATTGATTTTTAATCATAGAACTCCAATACGGGATGCAATTAGCACCCTAGATTATTTGTGCCTAGATAATTTGGGCTCAAAAGACAACTGCTCGTTGAAAATTTGATACAAATATCTCCACACAAATGCAGAGTTAATTTTTATCTCTAAGGCCAAGTGAAACTTTCCGAAAATATGGCCGTGTTGTCTAATTTACATTTTTCGAAATTGGAAACACGATAGTTTTTTCATATATACATCTAAACTTGGCACAAAACTGAAATTTGTACAAAATTTATCAGTGGAAAGTGAATGTAACAACAAGAAATAGAGTGGTCACCTGCTCTCGGCATCGAATACTACAATCAATTATTTTTGGACAAACTATTTTTAAAAGCTCAAAGATTATTAAATATAGCTTGCTTTGAAAAACTTTCCTATAATATGTTCTAACAAATCATATATGTCAAATATGTGAGGAAGAATTTAGGTGAGAAATCACTTGAAACAGATTGCCTTTTTAGTCCCGAATAGTTTTTGTACTTTTGATAAAGAAACTTTGAACTATTTTGTGTTCCTTCCACAGTCAATATCAAAATGGAATATAGCAACCTTAGTTTTCAAATGGGGTTTGTTTTATAAATTGAGTTGAATGGAAATATAAAATGACCAAATAAGCTTCCTCAGTTCAGTTTCACTAAGCTTGAATGAGTGATAATTTGCCGCACTAAAACTTTTTTGTTGGCGCGTTCAACAAAATAAACTCAATGGCTCTTTTCCAGCTTTCCACCCTCTCGTAAAATTAAAAATGAAACTGTTCAAAAATGGTTCTTACGGCAAATTTGCATGTAGAAAACGTTGTGAGAATTTCTTCACCTGTTCACACTGACAAGTTTTATTGCAGCTTATAACATGGAAAATTATTTTAAGTAGATTCCAATTGAATAAATTTCAGAAAAAGTTGAAGAGGGGGACTGGAAAAGAGCCAAATGCCTGTTTATAAAAACAGCCAACGGGTTTTAAGATTTTTTGAAATTGTGAGCAAGTCAACTGCCTTCTCTTGCATGGTTATAATAATCAACGCACAAGCCATACGTGGATCTCTCTGTCAAAAAACACACAAGGATACGGGCATCGTACCACTCCGTACTCAAAATGAGATGATAGTACTTATAGTGCAACAAAATTAATTCATTCTTAGAAAATTTTTTTTTAC